GTAATAGATAATATTTTAAATATAGTTGATGATACTGAACCCAAACCCAAAGACAAAGTTACCTCCGACAAAATATCTAAGCAAGATGAAAGAACTGATAATAAAGAACCTGGTAAAAGTAAGTATACATAATTTTAGTGTGTAAGTTTGATGTTATAGGTAATTGATACAATTTTAAATATACTCGTAGTTGATGATACTGAATCAAAACCCGGAGACAAATTTTTCTCTGAAAAAAAATCTAAACAAGAAGATGGAATAGACAGTAAAGAATCTGATAAAAGTAAGAATACATAATTTAGGTTTGTTTTGATTGATGTTGTACGTAATAGATAATATTTTAAATATAGTTGATGATACTAAAAAAAACATCGAAGGTAAAGTTACTCCTGATAAAACAACTGAGCAAGAAAACGATCAAGAGTCTGGAAAAAGTAAGAATACAATTAAACCTTTCATTTTTAACGATATTACAACTAAAAGTAAAACAATAACTTTTTCTAGATCGAATTATCTGTTTATTTTCCCTCACAATATTAATGACATTTTAATTTTAATGGACATATAAATGCAATCTACATTCTACAGTAAAGCACTAAAAATGTTGGTTTTTATCAAAAAAGTAGCAGCTGAATTTTATGTTTTATCTTTCTTTCATTTTATTTATTTCGTTATATCTCAACTGTTTGGGAATCAAAAACGTCGGAAGTTCTTAAATTGGAACTTATGCTAATTTCTAGTATCTTTTATTCTACTATTCAGTTATCTTGCTATTTGTTTTATTCCCTGGTTGATTACTTGGAACAAACCAATATGTGTTCCCTTAGCAACTTAGTAGTTTGACTCTCTTGAAATAAATATTTATGTCTCTTTCTATAACCTAACCTAACCCCCTCCCCCTTTCTAAATCTTCTATCAACTAAGCACGTAACAATTCCCTTACCATAATTATTATTATTTGCCAATAAATCCCCTACTTTTTTGGGTAATGATTGTTCTCAGTAATTGATATATTAGTAGTATAAAAATAATTGTCATAACTTTATGTTTGTTATCATTTTTAGGTTATCCATCGTTAGTTAATAATTAAATTGTCAATTTTTTTTATTTAGTTAATGGTGAACTGAAACCCGAAGACAAAATATGTATTGATAATAAATCTAGGATGGAGGATGGCCCACCGCCTGCTCTAAAAATGTACAACGTAATCAACGTGAACAACGAATCTTGGGAAAGTAAGTTCTTACTTAGCCTTATTAAATTTGTTTTATTGAGAAATTGCAAATATAATATTTAATTTAGGTAGTGGTAAACTTTCAATTAAACAAGAAATGTGGATTGACAATGAAGAATCTGGTGGAAGTAAGTAGACCTTACCAAATTTATTTTTATTGATATTATTGATAAATATAATGTTTTATTTAGGAAATAATGAAATGTTACTTGAAGACGAAACGTGTATGAACAATATAGCGGATTCAGAATACGGACATCTACCAACAACTATTGATGAGAAAAATGCCGGTGAAATGTGGTCATGTAACTCTAGAACATTGGCGATGCCTGTAAATAGTAGAAAGCGTTGCCAAAACCAAAACGACGGTTTGGATGACAGTGAACAATATCTTTTGAAGAAAATTAAAGTTGAGGATACTAGTGATGATCAGTTTCAAGAGATGTGGGAATATCTTCAATACGACTTCACAAATTTCAACCAATGGGTCAACATATTATATATAGTTGATGACCAAAATATTGAAGTAAACGCAAGAATGGCTTACTCTAGATTTTTAGAACTATATCCACTTTGTTACGGTTATTGGAGGAAATATGCGAATTTTGAAAAGAGAAATAATAACATACATGAGTTTGAAAAAGTGTTGGAAAATGCTTTAAGCGCCATACCTGTAAGTGTTGATTTGTGGATTTATTACATGACATATCTGACAACGGAACGTTACGACGAAGAGCACCATATTCGTAATGAGTTCGAAAGAAGTTTGAGAATGTGTGGACTTGACTATAGATCTGATCAGTTATGGCATGATTACATATCATGGGAAGTGGAGAAAAATGAAATATTTAATGCAGCTAACATATACTATCGTCTTCTTCGTATACCAACTTCAAACTATACAAAAAATTTCTTCAAATTTCAAGAGTTTATATTCCAAACACTACCTGAAAAATATTTAAGTATTTCAGAATATCTCGAAAAACGAAATATGATAATTCAATCATTTAGAATAAACCATAATAGAGAGTCGTCGAATTATGATTCTATACCACCCGGTGTAGATTTTCAAGAGGAAACTGAAATTACCGAAGAAAACATACTGTCCAAATTTAGAGTTGAAATTATTGATGAATGGTGCGATGTTCACAAGCAAACTGCCATAGAATTTGAAAGTCGGAAGATATTTGAGGAAAATATACGAAGACCTCACTTCCATGTAAATGAGTTGGAGTCTGCTCAGATAATAAATTGGGAAAATTATATTAAGTTCGAGAAAAAAGCCGGGAATCATGAACGCATAATTTTTCTCTACGAAAGGTGCTTGATAACGTGTGCCTTAAACGAAAGATTATGGTTAAATTATTTGGAATATTTGTCTTTTGTAAATTTTGATGTTACTATTTTATTATCTGATGTATTTAAAAGATCATTATTCTATCATCCAAAGTCACTTCAATTGAATTTGAAATATTTTGATTTTTGCGAAACCCAGGGTTGGGAGGAAACAGCTATTGACACAATAACACAATTAGTGACCACTCATCCAGACTCAAGGGAAGTTGTTATTAAAACAATAAATTTAGCTAGAAAAAAGAAAGATGGTACTCTAGGGATTTTATATAAACATCATTTAAATTGTTCTCGATCAAAGTCTCTATCCAGTTACATTGCGGTAAAATATGCACGTTTTGTTTGGAAACATGACCGTCAATTAAACCTTGCTCTTGATATTTTATATGATACCATAACAAATAACGTCATCAGTGTAAATGATAGCATTGAACTTTATTTAACACTAGTGGACCTGAAAATGGAAATAAATCCAGAAGACCAACTATCAGTATTAAAAACGATTGATGACATAATATTGCAATGTAATTTATATAAGGAAAAACTTGTGTTTTCAAAAAAAAAATTAGAATACTTAGAAGATTATATTCAAGATTATGATATGTTACGTTTGGCAAAAATTGAACACAAAAATTTAAGAAATGCAAGCTTTATGGAGAAAAAACAGTTATTGAATAATACAATGTAGAAATTATAGAAAATCCCCCACTTCTATAATTTTAAGAATTTACAAAGCCCATATTTATACTTTTGGCAAATACATTGATTTATAAATAAATGTAATTAATAATAATTATAATATAGTTGAAAAATAGTCTATGATTTTCTTGATACTGTCTTATAATGTGCTAATTATTTTATATACATGTATATTACCTTCATTCAATAGGTATTTGAAGTTTTTATCATTAATTATATGACTATATAAAATATAAATTATAAGTGTGTTAATACATAATACATTAAGTTAATGTTTTAATAAATATAATATAACGTTTTTAACTTTATACAAAAAAATATACATTAGTTCAATCAATGTTTGGTGGGTATGTTCAATGTTCATATTTCTCAAGTGCTCTAAATTTAGACACCTAGGTACCTAATTACATTATAGGTTGTTATCATAACTTATAAGGTCATTATGTATCAAATATTAAATATTTTTAATGTTCTCCAAAAAACAATTGTTTTTTTCTCAAAATCTGATAAAATATCTAGTTTTCGATAACAAATTTATTATTTTTCTGATGATAAAAACGATTAAGTCCAGTCGAATATTGTGCTTTACAATAAAAAACAATTTGTTTCAAATAAAAAAAGTTAACAGGTTAAACATTTATATATAATGAATAAACCATAAATATTTAGGTTTTTTGTTATTTATTTTATAGTTAAATTAAAATATTTTCAAAATTTTAATTTAAGGACTAATATTTTCATTAATTTTTTTGTTATTCTACCGTTGTATCATTAGTTTGGCTACAATGTCAGATTTTTGAATGTATATATATCCTCATATGATAAGTCCAGAGAGAGAACTCGCCGATTCTGGGCATCCCCCTGCTATCTTAACATGTTCCCCTATAGCAGCCTTCTCTCACTGGACAGATTATAATAACTAATTTTATTATTACTAATCATTGTATGATTTAAAGGTACACCTGTTGGATTAAGTAACATCATATTTTGTACAATATACTCATTTTTAATAAGTACAAATATATTTTTTAATATTAAATACCTATAGTAAGAAAATTATTTGTAACTAAGACTTATATTATTTTTAATTTTAATGTTTTAAATATTGCGTTTATATTATTTTAACTACTAAAAGAATAATGCTTACTGTGTGCGATTGATATGTATTTAATTTTTTATAACAAAATATAATATTTACTGTCAATTAAAAATATGTCCTTTATACTTTATATTGTGTTATAGTTTTATCACAAATAATATTGTGCTTAATATTGGGTGTGATTTTGAAGGTTGTGATAAATACCAAGCAAAATTATTGTTTATCGGTTTCTCCCTAAAAAATGTTGGCCTTAGCCTAGGGTACCTGGTATTTAACCGCCGGGGACATCAGTATGTAAATGTAACATCAGTTTAACAGTTTGAGTAATACGAATATAAAATTACGGACTACATGTCTGTAATTATGGGATGGGTCGTGTGTGGGAAGAATATCCCTGAGAGTGGCACACAATCTTTTTAAAATTTTTCTGTTTTTACTCTTTTTATAAAAAATAGATTTAATAATATACCCTATGGATATAATATTGTATAAAAAAAAATTGGAAAGTCGTTCTTCTAAAAGTATTATAGAAAGTGTCTTGATGGTTACCTCGTCTTCATGTACTGTAACTTAAATTTGAATTCAATGATAAATCTTCGCGTATCTAACAAAATCGATTTTGACCTGAGACGGTCTATCAGCCTATATTTCTAAGGATAATTTATTAATCACTATACATTTATACAAGCAATTAATATTTTTTTTAGTTATATGGATAGTAGGTTGGACTAATTATTTAATTACTAGCTGTTATACTGTTATAGAATATATTCTATGAGATATGTTTTACACATTTGTATCAAATACTATAATGATACATGATTAAATTATTATTTTCATATATAAGAGAAAAATGTATCAAGAGTTATAAAATCGTTGTCAAAAGGTGTAAGTAATTTTGTATGAAGTACCAAATACCTTTATTTTTAACCGGCTATTATATCATTAAACAGGCCCACTCTTTGGCGGTACAACTAGTAATAATATAAATGTATAGTTATCTATTATATAAATATATAATATTATTATTATTAACTTTTGAATCAATTTAGGTTAGTGGTATAAATATAGTCGATAGTTTACAATTAATCTAAAGATTATGAAAATGTCGTTGCGTATAGTAAAATATAATAATAAACGTAAAAGTTTCTAGTCTCTACTTCTCGAGGAATAATATTTTTTAACTACAATAAACTATAAAACAACAAAGTACACAATAAGTGCAATTGTATAATTATATAAAATTGCAAAACTATTTGCTAGGAGCTAGGTAGGTACCTACAGGCTACATAATATATTACGCATATTATATGGATCATACACTAATGCAGTTATGCGCGGAAAACAGTGGCGTATTTAGGTTTTTTTTTTTTTGGGGGGGGGGGGGATATGAATTTATCAAGTGGTCACAAACTCAAGGGGAGCTTAGCATCATCAAATCAAAATAAGTTGTCAAAATTGCATGTACTATTATATAGTATTATATATTTATATGTAACATACATGTTAGTTAATGTTATCTACTTAAGATTGAAAATTTGTTAAAACAATTCCTATTTTAAATATACCTACATAGTATTTAAAATTTTTTTATTTATTAAACATTATTTATATTTTAGAATATACAGCATTACAGTAATAAATATTAATATTTTTGCTTTGAAATACTCATTTTTAAACATAAATTTCCTCGAAATGCAAAATAGTAAAAAAATCACCCCCTTACATACGCCACTGACCATAAGTACACTCATATACCAATATTACAAATTCTTAATATTATAAAATAAAATTATATACTTAATAACTTTTTTTATAAACTTGTAGGATTATTAATATTAGTAAACACTTAAGATAGTACTTACAATCAATAGTCGGTGCATTAAATAACACGTAAATATATGAATGTATGATTGCATAATTAATTTTTCAAACTTTATATTAATAGGCAAAACTGCAATAGTTATAATTTATAAATTATAAGTTATTCTTATAACTTAATTTTTGGAAAAACCAACTTAAATTTCAATCTCAGTGTTCATTACATACATAAAATTGGAACAAAAATTATGTATAAATCGTTTAATTATTTTTTGTTATTACCTATTTAAATGTAAATTTACACTTTAGATTTAATTCGATTTAATCATTAAATTATTAAAATCATATTTTATTTGAAGTTATATTTAAACTACGTAAATAATACCTACGTAACTTTGATACATGTAACTATTACAACTTGAAAGTGTGAATAATAGAAATAAATAATTAACCTATAGCCGTCGATAAGAATATGTATACCTACAATGATAATATAACAATAACATTATGAAATATATAAAAAAAATATATTATACGACTATATTGTTTATATTACCACACTGGTTAACACATTGGAGACCAACAATTTTTATTTTGTTATTGCACCTATACGGGAGTGTAGGAGTGCCACCCAAATTATAGAAAATGTTTTTCAATATTTGTTATAGCGAATATATTTTCTGTTATTACAAACAATGTATTTGTTATAACGTATATTGGTAAATATCAAAAAAGTGTTCTGGCGGTATTTCAATCTAAAATTCTGAACACTACCACAAATAATTTAATTTAAAGTCTAATTTTGTAAATTTAAATCCATTTTATTTTACAATTTAAATCTTGTAAGTATTTGTTATCTTACTGATTGCTTTGCTATTATAATACTTTTGATGTTGAATTTTAGAAACATTGTTAGTAATACATAGTAGGTACCTATTTAGTATGTTATTCATCTTAAAAAAATGAATGTTTATATTGCGTGACTAGTCATTACTTATGCAGTCTTATTTATTACTTATACTATCTAAAATGGTTTCTCTAAATTATTGTTTTACCAAATGTATTATAAATAATAAGGTTAACTATCTTATACCTATACTATAGGTAGTTTAATATGCAACAATAAAATTAACTTATTTTTCCCATCTTGTTTTAAAAATGATTAACTAATAATTATTGCATAATGTAATATGTATTGTATTTGTATACCCATATCATAAAAGATAATATTATTAATATGATTTATATTAAACAATTAAACATGTTATTTAACATTTACATATATATATACAATTGCATAAATATGCAATTAAAAACCCTAGAATATGCATAAAAAATTAAAAAATATGCATTTAATATATTTATTATTTTATTAATAACTTAATCATTTATTACAATTAGTGTCACATAAAAAATTTTTAAAATAAATCAACTGATTGTTTCTTGAATTTCCGAGTTTTTTGAATTTTATTCGTCAACTATATAATGA